CTCCGGCGCAGGAAATACGGTGGCCATCTTGGAGCGGTATACCCTCCTACTTTGCTCAATCAAAACAGCAGAAGATGCCTCAGCACTGAAGGATATTGTTGTTCGGATCTATGGATTATTGATGTGAGGGCTCCATAGACTGTATTTACATCACTGTAATTGCATTGTGCTTTCAATACATTACCATTTTGCTAACACTTTATTTGATGGGGTGTGACATGACACTGTCATAAAAACAACACCTGTCCTCCGACTTTTAAAGCAAATTCTCATTAAAAGTGTCATTCTTTATTGAATGTCACTTCATGACACTGTTGGTATGTTCTAACAGGTGTCATGTCATGTTTATGACAGTATCATATCAGTCTTATGCACACCCCATCAAATAAAGTCTTACCCACATTTTTTTCAAGAGCCAATATGCTATAACAGAATTGTACAAATTGTCAATACATTCAAAGTTTACAGACAACATGCTTATGAAAATTAGCACAATTAGGTACATTTTAGAGGAAATGTGAAAAATGTTTAACCAAGGACAGAGTATTGTTTTAATACAATGTCACAGTATTCCAGTATTACTGCAGACAAACTGACATTTCTCCTTCCTAAGAGCAGTGTGGATCAACGACAGAACATTCCCATTCACTGCACCACTGCACTTTACAGAAACCTACAAACAAGAACAATAGCGCAATTAAACAGAGAAAGCATTTACTTTTTTCTGTACTTAAAGAGTACAGAAAAATGGCAACAAAAAAAATGAGACAATTTTAAGATGTTGTGGACTTGCTATGTACACTAAGAAATAATCCTGTAAATTTACAGTCAAATACTGGCAGCTATAGACGCAAGAAGTTTACTGTAAATGCACAGTAGCTGTACCGTAATTAATCCCGACAGATTATTGTCAATGCAAGTACGATATAGATGCTGTGAAAGAACGGTAAACTTCTGGCGTCTATTGCTGCCAGTAGTTTACTGTTCTTTCCAAACAACAGTAAAATACTGGCGTCTATTGTTAGTTTTACTGCCTAGCCTCCACCTTGGAATTATGTTGCTTAGCAACTGTGACACAATATGCTTTAAACAATGTTTGTAGGCAAAAATGTAGATGTATAAATCTCACATTTCTGCTCGGTTCATCAGCGCATCACCTAATTGCAATATTGCTCCGACGTTTTCGGAGACATCTGCTCCTGCTGCATCAACAGACAGCTCTTTGCATCTCTTCTTTGTTGCATTTGTTTTTCCCGTGTTTGCTGGGTGTTTGTACCTGTTGGCCACTGTAAAATACAGTGGTGAAAGTAGATACACTTTCAAATACTGGCGTCTGTAGGTTCCAGTATTTTTACTGCAAGTTTAGTTTTACTACTGCATTCACTTTATAAGTAAGCTGCTGCCAAGAAAACTGTAATGCTACTTAGTAAAGTACCATCTTAGTTTTCCAATAGAATGGTAATACCTGACCCAGTGTAGGCTTCTTAGAAGTGCTAAAATTGGTGCGGTTCTAAAATGCATAATCAAAATTTCACATAACACAAAAGAGGATGCGATAAGTAACCTTCAGAACAGATTTTTTTATTTAAAGGCATCACTGTGCCTCAAACCAGATATATATTTCCAGTATATTCAAACATTAAAAACAAATTACACATAACCATTCCTCAGAGAACTGGTAAAAAAAATAGGCCTAACACTAACACTGGAATAAAAATTGAAGACTTTCACTTTACAGTGACATAAACTGGGTTTAATTCATTAATTTCTACAATCTTAAGAACATAAAAACACAGTTCTTAAAGAAACATACATGCTTTGGGAATCACTAAACAAATAATAGAAAAAAGACTTCTAAAATCAAAAATTCAACATGGTTGAAATAATGTGGAATTCTAGAATTAATAAGGTTTTAAAATGTGAACTATTAATGGTTTTCAAGACTCCAAGTGGCACTTACTTTATTAGATGCAGATGAAGGCACCGTCCAACATAGAAAAAGAGGAGACAATATAATTTAGATCCTAAATGATATGGAAACAAATATTTCAAAGAAAAGGAAAGGACAACAACTAACCTGAATGAGATGCCACTCAAAGTCCATCAGGTTTTTGATGAGGGTTGAAACCTGCACATTCACTGTCTGCTTATTCTTTCCTGTCTTTTTGGATACCATCTTCCCATCACCGGCTTTTGTGCCCCTTTCTGTGTTAATCCCAATGAAGCAACTAAAAAACACAATTAAAAATGGGAAAATTCCTGAGAATATAATCTGAAGACAGCAGGTACAATATATAGTCGTTTTTAATTATGTAAAGAGAAAACATCACCAACTTTGTCAAATGTTAATCATAACTTGCTTTAAAACCATGTCATTGTTTTTTGGTCCTTTCAAAAAAAAAAAAAAAAAAAAAAATAGGAATAGTTTTACCGTTGAATGAACTCCAAAGTCTTGGCTACCTCACCCTGATTGGGTGTTGGAGATGTAGAAGATGGAAAACACTGTCCTTTCTGGAATGTTGGCTGGACCCTCTAAAGACAATATGGCCTTCTATGCTGACCATGCAGAAAACTGCTTGCCATAGGGACTGTGTGACGGAGAAGCAGTCACGAGCCGGGACTTAATTATGAGTCTGTGTCAACATGCGCACACGCCCACACACAATCGCTAACTTGCTTCTGTTACAGGTTAAACTGATGCGGTTCATCGTGGGTGCACACGCGGTGTTCCTGCTTCAGTTTGCATCCATGCTAACCTGTTTTCACTTCCAAACATTTTCCAAGTTTTTGTTTTCAAGCAGGGTTATTTCCGGTTGTGGCGCACCAGGAGTCATGTGATGACATAATGACGTCATCGGAGCATGCTGAGTGTTCTCTATTAAATTGATTATTGTATTCTTGATTACAAGTTTATTTTATTATTATAATTTTGTACCCTTTAAGAGTTTATTTGGATTAGAAGTAATTGTTTTGTTTGCTCGGTTGGTCTTTCTCCTAATCCAGGCCGGACAACTCTGAGCATGCAATTCGACTGAAAGAGAAGCAGCCAATTCGTCAACGCCCGTACAGAGTTCCACAACAGTTGGTGGGGCAGCTGCGAGATGAAGTTGAGACCATGCTAACATCAGGTATTATTAAACCTTCAAACTCTGAGTGGTGCAGCCCAGTAGTCATCGTGTGTAAGAAAGATGGCTCACTGCGGATTTGCATTGATTTCAGAAAGCTTAATGCAGTTTCAGAGTTTGATGCCTATCCCATGCCCAGGGTGGATGAGCTGCTGGAAAGGATTGGAAAAGCCAAGTTCATTACCACCCTTGACCTGTGTAAAGGGTACTGGCAGGTCCCATTGAAGCCTTCAAGCAGACAGTACACAGCATTTCATACCCCGTCTGGTCTTTTCCAGTTTACTGTGATGCCATTCGGCCTGCATGGTGCTCCAGCGGTTAATGGACAAAGTACTGCGAGGAAGTGAAGACTATAGTGCTGCTTATCTAGATGATGTAATCATTTACAGCAATAGCTGGGAGGAGCATGTCTCACATCTAGCAAGAGTGTTGGAAAAGATTAGAGGAGCAGGGTTGACACTTAACATTTCAAAGTGTGTTTGGGCACAAACAGGAGACCAGATACCTGGGTTACCAGCTGGGGAGAGGAGAGGTGCGACCACAGATGGATAAAGTTGAAGCGATCCAAAAATGCCCTCGTCCCCGAACCAAGAAGGAAGTGCGGTCATTCCTGGGACTAGCTGGCTGGTATCGAAGGTTTGTGCCTCATTTTGCTACACTTGCTTCTCCACTCACAGTTTGACAGCTAAAGACCAGAAGAATCCTGTGGCGTGGACCAAGGAGTGTGAAGCTTCTTTTAACACTCTGAAAGCTCACTTATGCTCATCTCCTGTCCTCTGAAGTCCTGATTTCAGTAGGAGATTCCTGGTCCAGGTAGATGCATCCACAGTCGGCCTAGGAGCTGTCCTGGCTCAAGGAGATCCTGGGGAGGAGCAACCCATACTCTACATGAGCTGCAAGCTGTTACCTCGAGAGGTGAGGTATTCTGTGGTGGAAAAAGAAGGCCTGGCCATTAAATGGGCTCTGGAAAGTCTCAAGTACTATCTGCTGGGCAGAGAATTTGATTTGGAGACAGATCATTGTGCCCTGACCTGGATCAACACCATGAAGGACAGTAATCATCGTCTAACTAGGTGGTATTTGTCCTTGCAACCTTACAAGTTTACAATCTGTCATAGGAGTGGCAGACTTTCTTTCTAGGTTGCTGAATTTCGCCAACCTTGGAGAGGAGAGGGGTGGTGTGACGGAGGAGCCGGGACTTAATTATGAGTCTGTGTCAACATGCGCACACAATCGCTAACTTACTTTTGTTACAGGTTAAACTGATGCAGTTCATCGTGGTGCACATGCGGTGTTCCTGCTTCAGTTTGCATCCATCCTAACCTGTTTTCACTTCCAAACATTTTCCCAGTTTTTGTTTTCAAGCAGGGTTATTTCCAGTTGTGGCGCACCAGGAGTCATGTGATGACGTAATGACGTCATCGGAGCATTCTGAGTGTTCTCTATTAAATTGATTATTGTATTCTTGATTACAAGTTTATTTTATTATTATAATTTTGTACCCTTTAAGAGTTTATTTGGATTAGAAGTAATTGTTTTGTTTGCTCGGTTGGTCTTTCTGTGGGCGGAGCCTGTGGCTGTGAAAGCAGGGCTCTGTGCCACAGGGAGGCAGTCTGTGGCTAGACTCCTGCCAGATCACAGCGAAGGTGATGACTCTTACCTTGAAGGTACTGTTGTTTTGTCTTCTTCACCTGCCACCTTTTTGCTCACTTGAAGAACTGAATAAATTTCACTAAAGTGATCTCTGGCCTTGGGCAGTCATTTTTTGTTTGTCCAAGCATAAGAGAACCCTGTCACAGACTGTAATAAACCAAGTCCTTAATTGGAAGAGCATAAAACAAATCCGCTTATTGATACAGTATGCATTTAAATGATCATAATAAAGACTGTCCACTCTGCCAGGTAAAATAAAAGCAAGGGTAATAATCTCCTCACTTGTCATGCAAAAGTCCCATCAATGTTGAAAACTGTAGGCTGGATTAATGTACTAAAGTTGTAGAGGAATTCATGGTACTTTGCATTGAAGGTGAAATGTACTTTAAAAGTTCTTCAAAAGCAGCCATGGATGGTCTTGTGATCCTTGATGGTGAAGTGTCTTTGGTGCTGCTCTTGTTTTCACAAACATGCAGGAGGAAGGGCTGTCCTGGTTCCACAGCAATGAGGAAGGCTTCAACACTGGCTTCCACCTTTGACAAGACGACAAATAATAAAAATTATTAAATATATTTAGCAGCACAGCTACATTCAGAAAGCAAACAAAGCCAATGAGAAAGTGCTTCTACAAAGACGTATGATCATTAGAATAACAACATACCTGAACATATCTGACAACATGGTGCAAAGCTTGGCATTAGCCGTTTTGGATTCTGCCACACACCTGAATTGTATCTCTGGGTGATTAACAGGTTTCTGCAGTACTTGATGGTCATACAACCATTTGAATCAGCTGTTCTGGAATAGAGGCACATCTAAAACATGCAGAGCAGGGGGGGTGTGAGGACCGGAGTTGAGAAACACTGACATAAAGCATAAAAATGTC